GAGGTACCAAAGGAAGAGGTGATTTTTGAGTTGGGTCTTGTTTTAAAACCATAAATAACACTTGGTTCGTGTACTTATCATTGGTCAAGGCATGGGTGCTTTTATTTCACTTGAGCTGAGACTTTAAGGATGGAGAAAACCCAAGGAGAAAGCAAACTTAGTCTTCACTCTATCGTTTTTCCTAAGCCTCAGTTACTTCATCTATAAAGTGAGTATGCCTCTATTTTATATATAAGAACTTCTATGAGGAGGAGATGAGATAACAGATGTGAAAGTTATTGAAAATAGTAGAATACAGGCATGAGAATTAGTTAATCCAATTTGGTTTAACTGACATCTTCAGAATATCTAAGCAAGGTCTTAAGAATGATGCAAGGCAGACACACCTAACACATGGTAAAGGCTTAGTATAAAGGTTTGAAAGAGGTAGATGGGAAATCCTAGCTACTCAGAAGGCATAGATCAGGAGGATTGAGGTTTGAAGTCAGCCTTGGGCAAACCATTTGCGAGACCCTATCTTGAAAAAACCTACCACAAAAAGGGCTAGTGGAGTGGCTCAAGCAGTAAGAATGCCTGCCTAGCAAGCATGAGGCTCTGAATTCAAACCCTAGTGCTGCCAAAAAAAAAAAAAAAAAAGACAAAAAAAGATGGTAAGAAAAAGAACCCCCAAACAACAGCTCTCTGTTTCATCTTGAGGCTTAATCCTGTGGTATGTTATTTTTACAGAGGCCATACTCATTCAACGACATACCATAAAAGATCTCGAGATGACAGTCAACAGTTTCTGAACCATGAGGTTTCTGGATTTTCCAATCTTGTAGGATATTAAAGCTAAACTGGATCAATATTCTAGTAGCTGCTCACCCTGTAGTTGGGGAGACTGAGTTCCAGAGGGAAAGTGACTTTCTAATATGACATCATGATCTTGGAGGCAGAGAGTTAGACCAGAATGTTCTTTCTATTGCTCAGACCATGGTTTTGGCTCCTAGACACCATTTATTTTTACTTTTTATTTTCCCCTTTCCCCACCATTTATTTTTATTTTTAACGGTAGTAAAATTAACATAAAATTTACCATCTTAATCTTTTTGCTGTTGTTATTTTGAGATGGGGTCTCACTATGTTTCCTAGAATGGTCTTGAAGTCCTAGGCTTAAGCAGTCCTCCTGCCTCAGCATCCTGACTAGCTGTGACTATAGCTGTGTACCATGCACCTGGCTTTGTGAAGCTGGGAATTGAACCCAGGGCCTTATGCATGATAGGCAAATACTCTGCCATTGAGCTGATTCCCAGTCCCTTAAATTGTTAAGTGTACAGTTCAGTTGTAAGTGCATTCACACTGTTGCACAACTGTCAGAACTCTTTTCATCTTGTAAAATTGCAACCATACCCATTAAGCAATTCCATATTCTCTCCTTTTCCTGGCTTTGGAAACCATCATTCTACTTTCTTTTATGAATTTGGCTACTCAAGGCACATCATATAAATGGAATCATGGCATTTTTTTCTCTTGTGATTGGCTTATTTTACTTAGTATTTTGTCTTCAAGTTTCATCCATGTCATAGCATGTGTCAGAATTTCCTTCATTTTTAAGGCTATACAATATTCCATTGTAAGTACATACCTTATTTTGCTTATCCTTTCATCTATCCATGAATATTTGGGTTACTTCCACATTTTGGCTGTTGTGAATAATGCTACTGTGAACATGGGTGTACAAATATTTGAGACTTTGTTTTAATTCCTTTTGAGTAACCCAGAAGTAGAATTGATGGATCACTTGGTAATTTTATTTTTGGTTCCAAGACACATTTTAGTGTCACAGGAAATACAACAGGTTCTGAGAAACTCAAGACCTTGGTGTGAATTGGTGAGCAACCCTGGTTTCTTGCCTCAAGACCAGACTTCTTGTGCCAAATAGGTTATGCACTCACAACCCAAAAGAAATCATGTGGTGGGTAAGAGAAATGATGTAGTCAAGTGCGAAGGCAGTTGTGCTAAGCACGTTTTACTTTGCTCTTTTTATTTTTTTTGGCACTTTTGAGATAGCGTCTCACTTACATAGCCTAGGCTGGCCTAAAACTTTTGATCCTTCTGCTGTTACCTCCTGAGTCCTGGGATTAGAGGCATGAACCACCATGCCCAGCAAAATACACATTTTTTTATGGTACTGGGAATTGAACCCAGGACTTTGTGCATACTAGGCAATTACTCTGCCACTTGAACTATTCCCCTAGCCCTTGCTCATGCCTTTTTTTTTTTTTTTGCAGTACTGGGGTTTGAAGTCAGGGTCTACACCTTGAGCCACTCCACCAGCTCTTTTTTTGTGATGGGTCTCGAGAGCTATTTGCCCAGGCTGGTTTTGAACTGCAGTCCTCACGATTTCTTCCTCCTGAGTAGCTAGGTGCCACTGGCACCCAGCTTCTTTCATGTCTTAACCAAATGAGTACACAGGTGAAGTGGCTTAGGCAGAAATGACAAACTGGAGGCCTGAATGATTAATCTGGGCTACAGATGTGTTATATATAACCTATACAAGGTTTTAAACTTTTTTATTTGTGTATATTAATTGTACAAAGGGGTTTAACTTGTAATATTTCTGCACATGTATATAATGTACTTTGATCTATACGCAGTGATGTATAGATTCTTGTGATGATGGGGATCAAACTCAGTACCTCATGCATGAGAAGCACATGCTCTACCACTAACTATATCCCCAGCCCAGCCCTAGGTTTTATACTTTTAAAGTTAGTTGAACAATTATTTAAAAAAGGAATATGTCCTATGAAAGTAGATTTTCCCCCTTCCTCCTCCCATTCTTCTTCTCCTCCTCCTCCTCCTTCTTCTTCTCTCTCTCTCTCTCTCTTGCTCTCGCTCATTTCTTTCTCTCTCTTTGAGACAGGGTCTCACTATGTAGTTCAGGCTGGCGTTGAACTCATGATCCTCCTGTTATTACAGGCATAGGCCACCACACCTGGCTTTTAGCGTCTCTTAATGACAGTCTGTCGAAACTGAGCCCACTTTCCTGCCTATCCACAGTCTCCATCACTCCCTGTTAACCCACCTACTTCCTTCAATCATATCACCCATTTTCTCACTTTGCCATTTGAAAATGTTTAAGATCCCTGGCTCGGAGCACAAGTCTGGTAGAATCTAGGTCAGGAGTTCAACGTTTGTTTTGGCCAATTTTCCAACACACAGTTGTTAATAAGTATTTGTGTAAGCAAATGAACTCATGCCAATAAGTTTGCAATGAGGATCTAGTATGTGCAGGGTTCAAATGTCACAGAGATAAATGACCTCTGAAAATTCACAATCACAACCATAGGGAGAGGGGCAGATTTATTTATGGTCCAACTCTGGATACAGACTGATTTTGACAGGGTGGTTAGGGTAGGAGTTTCTAAGAAAGAGATATCGAACGATATGAGAAAAAAAAAGCCAGCTACATGAAGAACGGGGTAGAGAGGAGTGTTTCAGGCAGAAGCAACAGCAGATACAAAGGCTGTGGAGTGGCCAAGAGTTTGGTGTGTTTGGAGAATTTGAAGAAGGCAGTGGGCTGGAGGTGTAAATCAGTGGTAGAGCAGTTGTGCTTGAGGCCCTGGGTTTGAGCCTCCACACTGCAAGAAAGTTAAAAAGAAAGAAAGAACAAAAGAAGGCCAATGTGATGGCCTAATAAAGCGGGGAGAGTGGTAGTAGATGACGTTGGACATGTATTTTTATATCAACAGCCTAACCCTTAAGCCAAGCAGCTGTTGGGCAAATCCGTGTTCTAGTCTTCAAAGGGTTTGCTCAGAACAGGAGCTGTTTTATCACTGTCAGTCAGAAGAGGGACTGGGCCTAATCCCTTCTCCTGCCTCTCGTGCCAAGGACACATAGGAGGTTTTAGTAGATCTGCTGACAGTATGCTTGAGAAGAAAACAGGAAGTGCAGACTGTCGAAGGAGGCCCAGGCGCGGCTCTCTCTTCATTGGGGCATTCATTCTCAAGTCGCTGACTGCTCCTCCAACCGACTCAGAGAGGTGGGAAAGTGAGATGCAGACAGGAACCCGCCTTAAGCCCTACCCGCAAAAACCTCAAGAGGGTGGGGCTGAGGGGCAGGTAGGAAAAACGTGCTGTGAGAGTTAAGCAAGGGCATCCGACTTAGCTTGGCGGGGTGGGGAGGAGGGATCACGAAGGCATATGGACTCCTTAAGTCCATGTGCAGGTAGAATTTTACCTAGAGTGGTTTGGACATTGCGTTTTGCTTTTTGGAATAATTTCCTCTGAAAACACTCGCTGCCCTAGAGTCTTCGCCGGGGCGGATCCTCCCTTCACTCCCCAACCCTCTGCAAAGGGGCCGGACCTCCCAGGAGCTGGTTCTGGCTGCAGTATCTACGCTTTCCCACAAGGGACCGCTGCGCACAGGCTACTGAGCACGCTGGTTCCTAAATCGCAGAGAGGCGAAAGCCTATTGGTTGTGAGGCCTCCGGCAGGGCGGAGCCTGTAAAGCCGGAAGAGAGTGGGGGGCTGGGGAGGGCGCCACTGGGCCAAACCAGAGGGGCTGTAGTCACCTCAGGCGGCTCCCTAGCATTGGCATTGGTCCGGGTCTCTGTCTAGCTTGGCTCTAGAGCTGAGGCGAGTGGAGCAGCACCAAGGCCCGGAGATCCGGGCAGGGCATTTGTTGTCGCTCTCGCCGCCGCAGGCCTGAGTTACCTGAGCAACTGCGTGTCAGAGGCCCGCCCGTTAGCGCGGGAGACTCTGGGGGGGGGGCGGGAGAGGGAGGCCGGGACCTGATCCTTAGCGCGGGGCGGGACCTGGCGAAGACCGGAGCGGGCCGGGGGCCCAGGAGACCCCGTCGGGACCGGGGGGACTCCTGCAACCGTCTGTCACAGGTTATTCCCGGATAAGTCCCAGCACTGGGGCGGGTCCGGGCTTTCGCTGGGGGCCGGGCGGCGCGGGGCGGGCCCGCGGGAAAGCACGCCCCCGGCCGCCCCGGGCCCGCCCCGCGCCGCCCGCCCGCGGGAGAGCTGCTGTCCCGGGCCTGGCCCGTGTGCGTCTGCCTGCTGGACCAGGGCACAGCGGCCAGACGGGGCACGGGACTGGGCGGGGGTGCTGACCTCGGCCTAGGAGTCTTAGGATCTCCGCGACATCCGTGTCCGCTGGGGCCTGCGAGTCGCTCGCGTTCCCGGAGCTTCTGCTTGCCACTCCGCGGTGGGGCGAGGTCAAGGTGTCCCCCTTATCTCCTCCCTTCTCTTCTGTCCCTCCCCCACCTCCGTGGCGGCGGGAGATCTTGTTCGCTCCCTCCCGCAGGGCATAGCAGGCTGCGGAGCTGCGGCCCCGTAGTCACTCTGTCCAAACTCTCCGGAAGCAGCCAGAGTTCAGGCCGCCGCAGACCCGGCGGACCGACTGTTGGACCGGAGGCGCCGGCCCTTCTGCGCCCAAACTTGGAACACTTGACCTTTGGCTGTCGGACGAAGCAGGCCCGCAGGTGGCTGGACAGCTGCGGCGCCGCGAGGGCATCCTGCCTGAGAACCGACGGTTGCACTCCTGGGCTCCCGGCTTTGCTTCTGGGATCCCAAGGTGTTCACATCAGGTGCATGTTGACTGAGACCTAAAGTCATGGATGTGTGCGCCCGTCTTGCCCTGTGGCTTCTCTGGGGGCTTCTCCTGCATCAGGGCCAGAGCCTCAGCCACAGTCATAGCGAGAAGGCGACAGGAGCCGGTTCGGGGTCGACTTCCGAAGAGTCCACTGCAGCGGGTAAGGCCTCGCTGGGGAGGGTTGCACTGGCCTGGGGGCTTTGACTCAGAACTGAGTAGCTGGAAGTGGGGAAGAATTGGAATCTACATTTGTACGTGTGAGGTTGGTGGAGGATCCACACATGGCACTGACAAGTTTTTTTTTCGGTTCAGGAGGCATGGCTAATGTTACTATTTCCCTGAACAACTTTCTGCATCCCTCCTCAGGATGTCTATTGTTGGCAGTGAGAAGCCTTTGGGGCACATCAACCTTTCAGATCAACAAGGCATGACCCCATTCAGGACTACTTTTCTGAAAGAATGGCCAGCCCAGATGGAAAGTTTATTGCTTTTAGCTAGTTTCAGCACTTGGCAGCATAGGGAAGGATTGAGGCCAGTTGGGTTGGACTGAGAAAATTAGGGCTAGGTCAGCTCTGTTGCCTGGTGTTCAGGTGTGCCTACCACTGTGAGAACCCTGGTGCCTCCCTTCCCTTAGGTGATCTGCAGTCTCTTGGCTGTGCCCATGTGAAATAACAAGGCAAGTCCTTAATGGAATCCTATTTATTAGGAGGAAGTTAATTGGCCTTTTCTTGACTTCGGCATATGATTCCTGGGACCACTTGTTGAGTTATTCTGTTTCTTGTGATAGAGATTCCATGTTATTTTTTATGTTTTTTGATTTTCCCTTTGCACTTGTGGAGCTTTGCCAGGCATCAGGAGCCTTGGTGTATTCTTGCAGTAGAAAGGAACCTTTTTAAAATCCTCATTGTTTGACATAAAGCTTAGAAGTAGATTAGTTCTTTTTCTCACTTCTTTCATCCTGTCATTGTGATTTGTCCAAAGCAATGACCTGAAGAGGGTTGGGGGGAGTTTATAGTTGGGTTGTTTTGTGGATAGGCAAGCTCAAATGAGGGAATGGCCCAGAGGGTATCTGCTGATACAGGTAGGTAAAAGAAATGTAGGTCATGGTGGGTGAGGAGTTTCATGGGTAGATCCAGAGGCTGCCACTAGTGGTAGACCTTTTCTTGGACAACCCCCTTTTAGGTTCTTGACTGGGTTGGGTATGATTCCAGATGCCCCAAGAGCTGGTTTTCAAATGAGGCCAGGGCTGCCCTGTGTACAAACCTAGTGCTTTAAAGATAGGTCATTTTTGCACATTAATCCTTCTCCCTAGGAAATTTCATAGGCCCTGAAACCTAGCTCAAAGCTTCATTCTCATTGGGCTATGCAGGGAAGGACTGGACAAACTGTGAAGCAGACACCAAGTAGCCTCCCTGTTGTCTCAGTGAGAATCCTGTAATAATTGATAATGCTTTTTTTTTTCACTTCAAAGTATGAGTGCCTGACATAAAATGAAGAATTTTGAGAGACGAGGTATTCTATACTTAAGACATGAACTAAAGGGATGAAGTTTTGAGTTTTAGGCAGTAGTCAACTGTTAGGAAGTTGCTTTATTTATTTATTTATTTTTCATTAGTTTGTTTTTAATTTTTGCTTAAGGTAGAGAAGCATTCTCACATTCCTCAGGAATAACTCGTGAGTTAAGCTTATGGATACAGCACTAGCACATCATAATTTTCAGAGGCCTGGCTATGCTGATTCTCCATCTATGCCTCTCTTTCTGTGTTCCCCCCCCCTTAGTTCAGAAATTGGATTCTGTTGTCATAATAATACTGAATTACAGGGAGTTAAGGTTAATAAATCAACTGTTAGGATTGACTAAGTGGACAATATATTAGACTTCATTGCTTAAAAGTCTTTGAGAAAGACCCTAGGTGCTATGAACATCTAAGGTTTGTGTGGGAACTTGGGTATCCTACCACTGTTGTTCTGGTAGGGTTGTCACTTTGGGTTCGTATGGGACCTTGACTCATACTTATTTTTGCAAAGAGGTGGCTCACAGACTGGGCTCTGCTTTAAAAGGATTTTGGGGGAACATTCTATGTGACAATGACCTCTTGTAGCCTTTTTTTTCCTTTTTTTGTGGTTCTGGGGATCGAATCCAAGGCCTTGCACATGCTACACAAGTGCTTCACTACTGAGCTACATCCCCAGCCTCTCTTGCAATCTTTCTAGCCCTCTTATCCCCAGAACAGGGGAGAAGTTTTACTTGTTCTTAAAGCTACCGCTTTTTTTTTTTTTTTTTCACTGTTTTATTTTTGTTACTGTTGTTGTGTTGGGGGTACATTGTGACATTTACAAAAGTTCTTACAATATATCAATAGCTGAATTCACCTCCTCCATCAGTCTCTTTTATCCCCCTCTCCCCCAAAGCTACCACTTTTTAAATCAGATTCAATATACTCAGTAAGTTTGTGTTCTCTACAGTTTGTATTTTACAGTTTGTATTCTACAAAGCCTCATGATAGTCCAATTAGAATGGGTGGCAGAATAATACATTCCCATTTCTATGGGTAAAAAAACTGGATTCTAGCCAGGTGCTGGTGGCTCATGCCTATAATTCTAGCCATTTGGGGGACAGAGATTAGGAGGCTTGTGGTTTGAAGACAGGCCCAGCAAATGATTTTCAGGACCGTGTCTTAAAAATACTCTATACAAAAACAGGGTTGGTGAAGTGGCTCAAGTGTTGAGCACCTGCCTGCCTGGGAAGCGTGAGGCCCTGATTTCAAACCCCAGACCACCAAAAACAAAAACAAATAAACAAAAACTGGGTTCTATGTTTGGTCTTATAGACAGGTCTTCTGATGCCGAAGTCTTGGATATCTTCCATCTTCTCAGGTCCTGTCCTGTTAAAGGAGTGCTAGGTGAGGCCTAGAGAATGTTGCTCTCCTGGTAGTTAGACAGGCCCTGGTGACTCTAACTGAAATTCAAAAAAGCCCTTTTCTCCTCTAGAGTATGTTTCAGGGGCCCAGAGAATTCAGTCTTTTTTTATTTGGGGTGTATATACCCATCTATTTCTTTTTATTAAGTTACAAAATTTGATTTTAAGAAGAATTTTAAGAACTTTTGGTTAAAGTGTTTATGGTGGGCTGGATATAGCTCAGTGGTAGAGAGCTCGGTTAGCATGTGCAAAGCCCTAAGTTCAGCCCACAGCAACACTCCTCCCCCCAAAAATTCTTATGACTTTCCCATGTGTACACTAAATATTATTAAAACACTGACCCTGCAGTGAAGGTAGGTACTCTGCTAGGAGGCTCTCTTATTGGGCAGTGGAGAGGCCATTCTTGTCACTTTCTGACTTTCTAATGTCTGCACACTCAGCCTTGCTAAGTCACTTTCTCAGTGCCTGGCAATACAACTGTAGAGCCTACATTTCTGAAGCTGGCTTGAAATGGATACTTGGAACCTCATTGCCTCCAGAAACTCAAAATATTTTCTATAAATATGTGTCATATGCAAATATACAAATGTGCATGAAGGACCTCAGGCGAGTCTAAAGTTATAGCTGACGTTGTTGTAGGTATTGAGGGTCTCTGATCAGAAACTGGTTTGGTTCATATAGCTAGAACAAGGCCTTGGAGGATAGGCATCTAGGCAGTATGAAGAGTGCAGCTGTGTTCTCGATATCCCCTGATAGAGTAGCTGGTCATAGTCCTGCTTGCCCACTGAGTTAGTTGCTGGTGCATCCAAGGCTATAAATGGCTTGGCCATCTTGGTGCTATGCTAATTTTAGCTGAGGGTGGCTCCCGGAACTGGGCTGGGGCCAAGAGCAGGTGGGTGGGGCCTGGCTGAAGCTAATACCCTGGACTAGAGAGAGGGACACACTAATCCTGGGGCAGCCGGGACATATCTGCTCCGGCCTTAGCTTTGGACAATCACCGTTAGCTAGGTTAATTGATTTAGCAAACATCGAACAGTGCCAGCTCATGTGTTATTTATTCAACAAGTATTTGAGTGACTATTCTGGGTCAGGTACTATGTATGTTTTCTGTGGAGATTTAAGGATGAACTTCCCTCATGGAAGTTAAGGTTTTGTTGGGTGACAGAAAATAACTGCATAAATAAATATATTATCTTGTGGTAAGTGGCATGATAGGAAATGTAAATAGGGTTCTCAGCGCAGTGAGAAGGGAACAGAGATCTAGTTAAAGCTGCAACCCAATGTCTTCTAGAACAGATTAATACAATAACATCAACAATAATGATAACAACTAACATTTTTTTAGTGCTTGCTATGCGGCAGGTACTATTATAAACATTTCATTTAATTTTTACAACCATCCTTGTGAAGTACATATTATTATCTTCATTTTATAGGTTAGGAAATTAAATCATAAGAGAGGTTAAATAATTTACTTGCCCAAGATTACATAGTTAGTAAAGAGAGTCAGAGTTTGCATCTAGGAAGGCTGATTCTTTTCTTTACCTTCACCTCAGCCACTAAGATATCCATTCTTTCAAAACTTTGTGATACATGTAGACACACACACACACAGACACACACGCACACACACACACACACACACACACACAGAGTGAGAGAGAGAGAGAGAGAGAGAGAGAGAGAGAGAGAGAGAGAGAGAGATATCTGTGGGAAGCCAAGGAAGCAAGTGACTAACCATGCCTGGGAGAGCTGGGGGAGGCTCTATAGTTTCCCCCATCATTTTTCTCAGATCTTGGGGAGATAAAAAGTGCCTACTTAATTCAAAAGTGAAGAGATGGAAATATCATTTAGTTCAGCCCACTTGTTTCTATATATGAGAAAACCAATACGTAGAGATGCATTAAATAGAAGTGTTCATAGTTGGTTATTGGTAGAACACTAGAGTAGGACATTTGAGCCAGGGATCCTGACTTAATCACTTATTCAATTTATAAGTCAGAATAAATGTACTAGAAGTGGCTCAAACAATAGAGCACCCGCCTAGCAAGCATAAAGCCCTGAGTTCAAACTCTAGTATTGCTGATAAGTAAATAAATAAGTCAGAATAATGACTGTTTATTGTTTGCTTTGTACTATGGAAGGAACTTAGGTCTACCAAAGAATTCAGCCTGTAGGGCCATATATATTTAGGGAATAGTAAATATAACATAATGCCCAGGCTTAACGAAGTGCAGAAT